TGAATCTTATACCAAGCAGGTTGTCGAGATGTTATAACTTTTGATAACATCAAAGCTACTGAAAAGTCTAGCATAACCAACGGGGACACATTTCTATTATTATTCATGCTAGATTGACTACCAAGATCAGTAGTTGTTATTTAAACTTAACATAGGTGCATTAATCATGGCATCCAAGCTGAAACAAATGTAAATAAGATAGTCACAAATCTTTTTTCACTATCATGTGATTTAAGCTAGTTAACATTGAAAAATGTAATAGTAAAAACTTGCCCCATTGAATTTCTTCCTGTTATATGATCATAGATGGCATAACTTGAGACAATTTTTGTACAGTGTTAATTTTTATTAGTCTTGAAAAGCCGCAGCTCAGTCTCATCAATCTGAAACTCATAGAACTTCTAAAGGATATGCAATTTAGGCAAACCTGGGCCCCAAAAGAATAGATCTCTCAAAGGCGCTTTTTTTTCTTCAAAAGGCAACTGAACTGTTTTTTTCCTTGAGGAAGAAGAAAACATTTTGCTTCTTATCCAAGAAGTTTTATAAAAGATGAATGAGAATGAGATGGATAAGAAGCAAAACAGTCCAGTTGCCTTTTGGAGGAAAAAAAAAAAAAGCACCTGAGACAACTATTACGTAATGACTAAGACTCGCCACAGACAAAAGAATAGTAGTTATCCTGGTAATATCTCATCAATCTATGCTCTATTCAGTCACTCCCTAGTTTTGAAGATCATTATTATCCCTGTATTTCAATGAAAAAAATCCTTTTGTCTGTCATAACTGTGATCAAATACATACTAACATTCTTATGATAGAAAACTGCTTGTCAGGTTACCTCTAACACAGGACATCTGGAGAAAAATGAGCCAAAGGAAGTATTATTTGGTTGAGGAAAAGATTCAGAATCAATAAGTAAGCATCTCATAAAAAGTTAATAATAATAATAGTAAAGTTGGAAGGGATCTTGGAGGTCATCTTGTCCAGTGGTTCTTAACCTGGGCGATATTAACTCCCAGGGGGTGATTTCATTTTTCAGGGGAGCGATGGAAGTGGCAACGCGGGGGCGAAGGAACGAAAAGGGGGCAATAAGGGGTGATAGAGCAAGAAGTTTTGGGGACACTTTTGAGACTTTTTCGTACAGTGAATCGCTGTATATCTGTCATACAAAAATATCAGATCACTCGCTATTAGTAGATTGAATTGTGTTTTCAAATGTTCCTCCAGCTAGCTTCAGTACAGAATGCCATACATATGTGAATACGCATTGCTTATCTTCATGCGCGTTGCGCAGCAGCCTGTACCCATACAGTGGCGCACCATTGGCCAGAATGGGCAGTGATGGAGGGGGGAGCACTTCTTTCAAAACATCGCATGCTGAGTGGCTGTCCCCTGTGACGTCAGCTGTAATGTCAACGTAACTGTTGAAACTAGGTTTATCGACGTCCACGTGTATTTTTCTAGTGTTCCAGTGGAGTCGAAAATTTAATTTGCAGGTAGTGCCTTTCATTTTGAAGACCTCTCAACATAGCCAAGAAGAGGAAGTGTTACCAATATTCGACGGAATACCTAAAATTGGGATTCATTCCATCTCCTTCCAACGTATAGCTTCCGTTTTGTCTTCTTTGTGAGAAAACATTTTCAAATGAAGTGATGAAGCCTTCCCGACTGAAAGACCATTTGGTAAGAATTCATTCAGATAAAGCCGACAAACTGGCATTGTTTTTCCAATCCTTAAAGGCCAAGTTTGAGGGTAGCAGCACTGTTGGGAAGTTATTTGGAAAATCATCACTCAACGCCGACAAGGGGCTCATTTGTTCCTATTAAGTATCTTTGTTGATAGCAAAATGTGGCAAACCTCACACTATCGGAGAAACGCTGATTTTACCAGCAGTGAAATAGATTGTTGCCACCATGTTGGGGCCCAGCGCAAGCTCTATCATGCAATCGATTCCTTTGAGCAATGACACCATATGAAAAAGAATTGATGAAATGTTTGCTGATGTGGAAGAAAGGCTTATTGACACCTTGAAAAATACAGAATTCGTGATGCAGATTGACGAGTCAACGATTTGTGAAAATGAAGCCTTGTTATTGGCTTATGTCCATTTCATCTTAGTTCCTGCATTGCGGTTTGTTCTTATGCCCTTTTTATATTTCTTTTTGCGTCTTAAATTTCACTTGTAATTCAATCATTAAATGTTACTGTTTTTCTTTTCAGGGATTTCACTTTCTTGCAATTGAATTTTGTTTTCAGTGGTCATTACATTTAAGTGTCTTGAATAAATAAGATAATAATGAAATACATGTATCACGAAGTTTGGGAATAAAGTGACGGGTGGCACCAAAATTTTTCACACAGTTGAGATATGGGAAAAAGACTGGAAATAAATTATTTGCATTGATATGTCCTGATGACAATTTTAAAGAAAACACAAAAAAGTGTTTGCATAAATTGAAGAATTATTTCCTATGTTGTGATTGAGAGGTTATGTTGGGGGGGGGGGGCGATGACAACTTCCTCATTGGCTCAAGGGGGCAATTCATTCAAAAAGGTTAAGAACCACTGATCTTGACCAACCCCCTGCTTAAGCAGGAAACCCTATACCATTTCAGACAAATGGCTGTCCAGACTCTTCTTGAAAACTTCCAATGTTGGAGCATTCACCACTTCTGGAGGCAGGTTGTTCCACTGGTTAATTGTTCTAACTGTCAGGAAGTTTCTCCTTAGTTCTAGGTTGCTTCTTTCCTTGATTAGTTTCCATCCGTTGCTTCTTGTCCTGCTTTCAGGCGCTTTGAAAAATAGCTTGACTCCCTCTTCTTTGTGGCAGCCCCTGAGATATTGGAACACTGCTATCATGTCCCCCCTCATCCTTCTTTTCACTAAACTAGACATACCCAATTCTAGCAGCCGTTCCTTATATGCTTTAGCCTCCAGTCCCCTAATCATCTTTGTTCAGTTCTTTGTTCAGGTTAAACATTTCTTCTGTAAGTAATTCAGAGACACCTAAAATGCATTAAAACAGCTTGACTTTTACAAGGGAGTTAAATAAATGTCCACGTGTTACAAGGGAACTGCTGATTTTCCATTATCCACCTTAAAAATTGGCCAACCTGACCGGCAGGGGACACAGGTTAGGGTACAAAGTTCTTTCTTCACAGGACCCTTGACTGTTTGAGTTGCAGATTTACTCTCTAAGATATTCAGATAACTAGCTTTGTTGGAAAACTATAATTGCACCAGAAAAGGAAGAAGCAACAAATCATGCTTGAATTCTGGTCTCATTGACAAGTTGTAGAAGGGGAGGGTGGGAATATCTGTGAAATATGCTAGGAAAGGTCAAACTTTTGGAGCTGTAAGTGCAAAGAGTTATGCAGAAATGGAAAAGAACTATTATCGTGGTTAGGGGTAAGTGAAGGTGCTGAAACAAAACTTAGAGGGCCATTGGCTCTGCTTCTTTATACACACTTTATTCACAAATGGTGTGGAGAATGGCTGTTGGCTTTCATCCAGACCAGTGTTTCTCAACTTTGACAATTTTTAAGATGTGTGGACTTCAGCTCCTTGTATTCCCAAATGCACTGGCTGGGGAATCCTGGGAACTAAAGTCCATACATCTTAAAGTTGCCAAAGTTGAGAAACATTAATCTAGACTAGAAATATGGAAGCAAAGTTAGTGTAGGGCAGAGCTTTAAAATCAGGCAAAAAGCTTTTAGTGGGCACAAGGAATTGTGAATTTGAATATCAGACTGACAATTGCACATAAACTAATCTCGACATCACTTATTAAAATAACTACAATATCTGATGAGAATCATGTCACCAAGGGTAGGAAGTTGAATCAAAATGGAGGAAGCTATGATGAACTGACCTGCAGCTGATATTAATGACAGTAGGTGGAAGTGAGCAATGTATAGCATATATTTGTTTTTTTAAAACAGTGTGAAAAAAATAGTAACTATTTTGACTCAACAATCTTTAACATTTTTTTCAAAGTCATCTGGGGAATTGATTGAATTAAGAGATACTTCCCAAAACATAATAAAACTGTTGTCTTAATACATTGATAAGACCTAAATTCTGAAAGTAGATTTTTAAATTTCAGGTTGGAATTTTGCAACATTTCCAACTTTGTAATTTTGTGGGAAATTTACTAAAGAATTTAGAATAAAGAAGCTACATGTAATAGGCTGCAACTCCTCCCACCCTGAAAAAGAAAGGGTAGGGGATTGTATAATATGAGGTAAGAATTTTAGTCCACCATATGCTAGATCGTGGATTTACACTCTATGGCTTGCTTTCCCAAGATCAATCTTTGCGTGGCTTAGTGGCTCCTTCTCTTGATCAAAAAGATTGTTACAAATTTTTAGCTAGAGAAAGTGAATGCGAGTGAACAAATATAGTGTTAAAGGCAATTCATTCCATTTCATTGTCCATTGTACTGTAACAATAAGCATTATAATGTAATAGAATTACCAGTAATTAAATTCATTTCTGTTATAGCAGATAAAGGTATATTTGTTTTAGGCTATCTACTGAAGAAAGTTCAGGAAGTTTTGGAAAGCCGAACACTAACACAAAAATTTTGGATCACACCAGATTTGTTTTTAGAGTGTAAAAGCAGCCATTTTTAATGCTACCTGATTAAAGAAAGGTCCCATTTGTTCTGTTATTACTTCACATAAAATTTTCTATGGCTGAAGTTAGAACTGAGAGCAAATAAAAGCAAACAAGGTATTGATTTATTATCAGATAACTTGATGTCATCCTCTTAAAAGTCAGTGATTTATTCTGGATTTAATCAATCAAAACTTGTTTTCAATACAAAGATTTAGTCCATAAAATCGATCATAAAGATTAGTTCCCCTGAGCATTTGCAGAATATATGTGTGTGTGTGTGTGTGTGTGTGTGTGTATGTGAGTATATATATATATATATATATATATATATATATATATATATATATATATATGCTAAACAAGAGTGGGCCTCATAAGATTAGGAAGCGGGCTTCTACAGTTGTAACTTTCCTGAAACTTTGGTTGCTGGCATGTGCTTTTTTTTTTTTTTTAATCATCAGCTGGGTTCTGTATGCTTCAGGGCCCATTACCAAAGTGCCATGAACCATGTCCCTTCCCTTGACAGGGAATATTTGGTGAATTAGAACAGATCAGGCCATTCAACTCCATGCCTCCCTAATTCTTCCTTTCTCTTATCGTGAAAGGGAAACAATTTAACCTTAGGGAACTGAAAATTAATCCCAGCCACAGTTGCTATTTTGGGTAAATACAGTTTAGTGAATTAAACAAACTAATAAGAGTTTTCATGATAAAGTCTCTTGTTGTTGTCCCTCATGCCAAAAGACTCACTCTCCAGATCAGACATTCTTAGGGATTAGTTCAGACTACTTGTCTGCTTACTGGGAGCCAGTAATAACCATCGATCACAAGTGAAGCTGGCCAACACCTGGAACTGGATGCTTTGGGCAATAAACAGCACCTGCCCCCACAGCCCATTTGATGCTCTTAAGCCGCCAGTTGCAACTGAACTGGGCACCTTTGTGTACATTTGAGTTATATATGTGCGTCATTCCTTCCCATAAAGTTTGATTCGAGTAAGTTAAAATAACATTGGATAACAGAGGTTGATATAATTTGGTTTGTTTGCCTCAGCATAAGGAAGCCCAATGACTGGCTGCTGCTGCTAAGGACATGAAAACATCAATAAAAATGGATTTGGAAATCATGGTTTGGTAAGTCCAGAATTAAGTGAAATTTGCTCTCAGAAAGTTATGACTAAATAATTCAATGAAAATAAAATCATTCCCTTACTTTCACTGTCACTCTGCTGCATCAATTTGGGTAGTTTGGGTAATTTACCCATCCCTGTAAAGAATGGAAGGTAAACTTCATCATTTTATTCATGTGTGCACATGTACATACACACAGCACCCTTGTTCTACGTTCACTTTCTCCCTCTAGCCAGACAGGAGGAGGTTAAGAATAATTGCTCCTGCTTTCTCCTGCAAGAAAAGAGGGACTTCATCCAGGGAGAGGAAGCAACCATTTCCCAGCATCTCTAGCACAAACTGCCTTTGGGAGAAATGGGGAAGACACAGGAAGGGACCTCCATAGTTTCGCTATATTTCAACTTTATGAATTAGACTACTTAGATAAAATAAATCCAAAGGGATAATATTGGATATTAACCTGGGTTAAAAACAATAAACCCCAGCTGATGATAGCTATGTCTCATTAGAATCCATGTGTCATAATGCTAGAAGAGTGTGTGTGTGTGGCATGCATGCGTGCAAGCATGTGCGTGTGTGCCTTCAAGTCAGCTTTTGACTACTTGGACAAATCCCTGCAATTGTCTTGGTTGGAGGTTTTTCAGCAATGGTTTGCTATTGCTTCCTTCCTAGGACTGAGAGGGAGGGATTGGCTCAAAGTCACTCAGCTGGCTCTGTGCCCAAGGTGAGATTAAAATTCATAGTCTCCCAATTTCTAGCCTGTGCACCAAAATGTTACAAGACTGGGGAGAGGCAAAATAAATTCCTGCTCAGTCATAAATATTAGTTGGTGAGCTAGGCAAGCTTCTTGGCCTAATTAGCCTTACACTTGTAGATAAAACCAGAAAAAGAAGAACATACAGTTTCTTAAGATCTTGAAGAAAATATCTAAATGAAATGAATGAATTGGGCATTTCTCAAATGTGTGTAAGTTTCAAATATTAACATCAAGCTGCATTCTGAGTTCTTGTTCTTCTACCAGATATTGGTAGCTGGGCATTGCTTTCCTTCAGACTTTTTTCCTCCTCTTTATTTTTTCATACTTTCAGTGAAGTCTGACTCTGAAAAGAACTGTGATGTTATCCTAACTAGAATTATTTTATTCTAGTAAAACATAACTTTAAACAGGATTTGAATAAGCCACAATAACTGGCTTTACATATTATGCTAACCTACAAATTTTGGTTTACAAGCCACAATGGTTACATTCACATACTGTCTAATGCAAACCAACCACATTATGGTTTAGTGGAACATGTGAACTCATGATTAATATAACAAGCCAATATCTCCATATTCTGCAACTAAAGAAAGCATAACAAGAGTTGGCAAGCAGATAACAGAGCAGAAAAGCTTTCATTTGTATTATTGAAAAGAAGATAATCCATGAACAAGATGACTACCTTCTCTAAGAATATCATTAAGATAGACTTGCTTGTTTTTCATTTCTTCACCTTTGCAATCTAAAAAATAAAAGATAACCCATCAAAATCTCATGAAAAACAACAGTGTAATTAATTTGCATTACCAGTCCAACAATCCTGTATTTATATTAATTCATTCCATGAACATTTAGTAGTGGTGACAGCAAGAATTTTTTTTAATTAAAAGGACAAAGAGTTTACCATCCAGGCAGAAAAAGATTCCTCTAATGGCTAGCTTTTAGCATATTTGTTCTTGTTTTGCTTCATAAAGAATCTCCTGATCTGCTGTTTCAATGAATGTTTTTAGTTTTATGAAAAAAAATGCTCTTCCTCATATTTTTTCCTATGCTATCCAGTCATACTTATATCTATATTCTCACTTGTTAACCTATTTCACTTTTTTTGTGTTCTTCTCTCCTGCCAAATCTCCAAAGCATCCCTCTGCCCTCGTAAAGCTTGGCCTGTTCCCAGAACAAAGTAGGCTGTTATATGATCATGTCCTCTTATGCTCCTAATTTAATCAAGGTCACGTGTAGTCACATAGTTAAGCACAAAATGGGGTCTGAGCATATGGCTCCATTAAAGTGACCCTTCACACAGTTGAGGATTCTCTGAATGACTGTGCTTGCTTTTAAAGTAAATCATAGGTTCAGGCCTTTGAAAAGCCACAGGGTAGGGGGGAAGAGACTATGTTCCCAATCCAGGCTGATGTCAACTCTCATTTGCAACAATGGTATAGTTCTCTTTCTACTAATAGCAGGGGTGGTTTAATATCTCCTTACCTCTGCTAGTCTGAAAGCGTTTTTTTTTAAAGTTGCCAATTGTCTTTTTTTTTTTTTTACAAAATATTCAGTTTTCAGTCTTAAGTAAAACAAGGAAGTAAATGTCAAAAAACACTGTGCCCCAAAGAGAAAGAAGTATTTCACAGATAAGCAGATAAGGCTAGGGTGGAGGAGGAAAATACACCTGCAAGGACAAGGTGATCCTCCTACAAAAAAATTAATAATGGTGAGTTGCAACCAATATACTACAAATATAACCTGAATGTAAAAATAAGAATCACTAAAACAGTTATATATAACTAAGGAAATACTAATTATAAAAGATAATGTACTGATCTTAAAACATTTACTGAACACATTATCCATTGAGCATCACACCACTAAAAATGCCATTTTCAAATGCTTGGAAGGATTAACAAGACAAAGCATTTCTTTGAAAAATATATGATAGTTACAGCAATCTCAGGGAGAAGGGAGGGCTTATGGGTTGCAATGGGTTCTTTGGTCTTCTGCCTTCAGTTTTCTCTGATGCCACATAGACAATTTATGAAATTAGTTCATCTAAGTGTAATGTAGGATATATTGCCAGAATAGACTTTTCATCATTAAGAGTTTCAGTGGGAACTACGTTAATAGGGGATTTCCATTACATTGTAGGCCAGAAAGAAGTACAACCACTCTTTATACACTTTTTGCATCCTGCATCCCCATTCATATATGTCAGGATAAAGCTTCTGGGATGGCTCTTGGTGCAGGAAACGTAAGCCACAGAGTTACATACAATAAACACACTAAAAATCAGCGGGCCTACAAGTTTCAATTCTGAGTTAAGAAGTCTACTATCCTACTATTCTAGTATAAGATTCCTACCTAAAGACATTATGCCAAAATGTCATAAAAAAAATTGGTACAACCTTGAGCAAACTGTTACAATTCAGTTTCAGCTTTCATTTGTTGAGGAATAGTGTCTGACTCACATTCATGGATGAAAAATAACTGCATATCATGGTAGTCATTCCTAAAAGGAAGCTTTAGGCTGGGAAGCTCCGTCCCATCACTCTCTGGGACAGCAGGGGTTGTAGGTGCCTTTGCATATATTTTTTACAGTTGATATCAGTGGCAATGAAAATAGATTGATAAACTCCGATCCTGTTTTAAAAAGCAAACATTTTGAGTCATTCAAGTTTATGTCGTCTCATCAAAAAGTCAAGGCATAATAGAGAATACAGAAATCTGCTCTGCCCACAAACTTTTACCTTGTCAACTGCCATAAAACTAGAAAAACATGAAGGCAATGATGATCACAATACAATTGGCCTCCACTGACGCACTTGGGATTTTAAGAGCCTTTTTCATTGAAAGGCGTTTTACCCAAAGCAAAAGTAACACATTTTGCATTTCTCCTACCCACTAAAAAGAGCAGGAGTAGGAGCAGCAGCAGCAGCAGCAGCAGGAGCAGCAGCAGCAGCAGGATATCCCGTTGCTGTGCTCTTGCTACTCTCGAACACACGAGTTACTGAGCGTAAAGAAGGCTCTTGGAAGGGTAGCGTTTCCAGCCCTCTGGGGTGGGCGTGTCGTGTCGGTGCAATGCACTGTGGCTGCCTTGGGGGGAAAAGAGGTAGGAGGCGAGCAGAACAGGTTAGTTAAAATAGGGGAGGAGAAAACCGCGCGGCCGCCCTACCAGGCCTGGAGTGGGCGGTGCCGCCGCCGAGCGCACGTAGCGGCTGCCTGGCCGCCGGCTTAGTAGTAAGCCATCGCACTCCGATATAGCGTCTTCTCTTGTCTGGCTGTTTGATGCTAATGTTGCGGGCATCAAACTAGGGCCCCGTTGCCGGAGCGCTCATGCCTCAGCCCGAAAGGATGGACCCGACTAGCTGCGGCAGGGATGAAGATGCTGGCCAGGTGGAGGGTGCTCGGACTCTCGGAGTCTCAGGTCGCCGCGCATCAGTCTACAAGATCAGTCGTCGGAGTTCGTCCGAGCTTGGATTAAGGAGCTACGATAACGAAGACGGTGCCTGCGCTGTAGCCGCAACTCCCGACCCCGTGGATTTGGAGGTGATGGGGACGCCCGCTGTAGCTTCAGAGAGTTCTCGGTCTCGAAGTCTCCACGTTGCTTCAGCCACGGGATTTGCGGGCAGCGAGAGTCCTCCGGAGGCCGTCTCGTCACGCCCTCTGCTCTCTTCCACGGAAAGCCGCCAAGATCGCGAACACTGGGAACAAGAGGAGAACGAAGAGGCTGAGACCCGGGCCGTGGCCACGTCTCCGGACGGTCGTTTTCTCAAGTTTGACATCGAGATTGGCCGCGGCTCCTTCAAGACTGTTTACAAAGGGTTAGACACGGAGACCACTGTCGAAGTGGCTTGGTGCGAGCTGCAGGTTGGTAAAGTGGGCGTCCCACGGTCCGCGCGGTAAAGTGAGCGTTCCTCGTTTTCTGACGAGCAGGGCTCCTGAGGACCTGGAATAAATTCAAGACAAAGCTCAAAATGCGACAGGCTGAGCCCCCTGGAAATGTATTCATTTGCGACAGAGCAGTTTGGTTTGGGAATATGATAGTTTGGGCACGTGGAGAATATTTCAGATTGGGACAACAGTGAAGAGAGATGAAGGGAGCATGAAATGGGAGGAAGGTTATGCCAAATCCTTTTTTCTTAGTTTTTAATTCCATTTTCTTGTTTTTTTTTAGCTCCATTGTGCTAAAAATGATTCAAATGACAGTCATTTTACTGGATTGTCATTTGATCAAAGTTTGAAGCATTTACATCCTTGTTTTCTTCATAAACTATTTGCACATCATGTGTTTGAGTACTGCACATACATTTTCCTGTCATTTCTAAGTCTTGTGTTTCTGGTTTCTCAATTTATATTGTAACTAGGTTTTTTACCAGTTTGGAGGCAGCTTCATTCATATTTATCCTGTTTTCAAGGAAAAGGGGCATTGAAAATATAGTTGTACTAAGAAGTAGTGAAAAATGAATCTTTAAGCCAATCTAGAAAACTTTAAACCAAGCCTGAGTCAAAATGAAATACTTTTAGAAAGTTAGCAAAGCTGCCTCTGACAAGTTATCTTCTAGAAGAGTGTTTGGAGAATTAGGGAAGATGATCAATGTGGGAAACAGAAAACTTTCTAAAACAAAAATAGGATAAATATGAGAGCTAGTTTTAACTGAGCCAAGAAGAGGCAATGAAGGAGTGTCTGTGGTACTGCCTTGAAGACAATTAATAGGTGGGCCTCCCTTTGCCTAGATTTGAGTAAGGAAGAAAGACCAACTTCATATCTCAAACCCATTGGTTGAACTTTGTTATATATCACTGAAAAACTACTACTATAGTTACTACTGCATTATTTTTGTGATTGTCTCAGCCATTGTTGCTGAATTGTGGATGTCTTAAAATAATCTAAGACTATTTTACATGTATCATTTATTTGTTCAGTCGTTCATTTTTATAAAGTTATTTCTCCCAAAGGAACCCTGTAATGCAATAGAAAAAAGAAACAATACAGTTGCCAATTCTAAAGGTTAACTAAGATATATAAAATAAAATAACTTTTTTTGTTTAGAAAAACTTATTGGAACAATTATTATCCTACAAATGCTAATGCAAAAAATTTAGAGATATAGTTGGTATAGGTGATGTTTTAATTCTAATTGTAATTAGTTGACCTTTAAACATAATTACTTCAAAGGATGTTTTAAACAACAACTCCCAGAATTCCTACACTCTGGTGATGCTGGATTTGATGGAAGTTGTAATCCAAACAACCTGGAGAACATTATGTAATATATATCTAAAAAAAGAAAAAATAAGATGAGCTCTTTTTGCCTACTTTTCCTCCAGATATGAGGAACAGGCAGAGCAGTGGCATAGTCAGAATTAATAGGACTCACAACATGTGTCTAGTTGGAGAAATGTTTACTTGGAAGTTTAATTTGAAGACTTCTTTCTTCAATCTCAAGTTCAAGATTTATTTTTCAGCAATGAGGGAATGATCTTCTGTCTGGACTCTTGCAGTCATATTTTTTAGAACTTAGCTCTGGTATCCATCCAGGTTCCAAGATTGATGTCTGACACAAACTGATCTTTCTTTGAGTATGACTTCCAGTAACTCCTGCAGAATCAATTGAAGTAAAAGTATATATTGACAAAATTGCCTTCTCCCATGGATTAAAAGATGCAATTGTCCCTGTTTTTTCATCCCATCAAGACTAGTTTCTAGTCTCCAGGGCATAGCATGATAGGGTCAGAGAAAGTGCTAGGCTGGCAGCTATTTTCTTTCCTTTGTTGCCAGAGGGATTAATTCATCAGAGTTCAATGTGACTTGTTGGCAAGTCATGTGCCATAAAGGTATGGAAGCAAACATATTCCCATAAGTATCTGGAAATAAATGTTTATGTGTGCATTTATGATTGAGACATATATGAGCTTGTTTTATGTATTCTAAGAATAGTAAAAGGAATCCTTCAGGTTTTAGAAAAATAGTTAGGAGAAATATGATAAAAATGTTTTTCTGAGAGTGGATAGTAGTGGAAAGTCTTAGAAATAGAAAAGGCCAAAGTACTTTTCCAGGCATTATACCAGCTCTCTAAAGGACTTTGTCTAATTTTTGTTACCTTAGTTTAAAACAACAATTTGCTTGATTAAGTGTTCATGGAAAGCTTCTGTAGTTCAGAACTATATAAACAGTATAAGTAGTATAAACAGATTTTTTAAAAAACATAATTTAAAAACATAATTTTGATGTCCTATTTATGAAGCCTAGTATAGGAGTTCAACTAAATGTTTTCTAAAGTCAGATAATTATTTAAAACAGATATAGCCACTAATTTGTGTAGTAAACTCTAACAGCAATTCCCAATTAAGTTTACTACAACTTCCATCATCTACAGCTGGCAGTAGTTATGCTAAATGGCAGCAGCTGTAGTCCATCAAGTCTAGACAGCAACCAGGATAAGAAAGATTGATGTAGCTAATTGGATAACTGCAACTAAAGAAAAACAACTACGAATGTGAAATTCTGCCTTGATTTCTCTCTTTTTCCCTTCTGCTGCTTTCTGACTTCTTAGAAAACATTCCTCCAGCCCCAGAAATTCTTGCTTGCCCAATTCTTGGCAAGCATCACTACTACTACTACTACTACTACTACTACTACTACTACTACTACTACTACTACTATTTTCTTCTTTCTTTTTCTTTTTCCTTCTTTTTCTCCTCTTCCTCTTCCTTCTCCTCCTCCTTCACCACCACCTCCACCTCCTCCCCAAAAAAGCTGTAATATTTATTTGCACATTTCTTTTCTCATTGTGCCTTGAAGGAGGTTAAATATCTGTCAGCATTTTATTCCCCAAAAGTTTAGCCAATGGGCAACAAGGAGTATTAATGTTTTGATAATGTGAACTAGAATCCCTAAAAATAGTTCTTGGCGTAAGGACCCTTTATCAGCATTCTCCACTTTTAAGTTTTTGGGAAATTATTGTATCCAGGAATTTTATTTCAGCATTCAATCCTGAACTCCATTATTGTGGAATCAGATATGGAATATCAGAGAGAATGATCTCTGCTGTACACTCAGGTAGAGAAAGAAGGAAATTATATCCAGTGGACCAAAGTTTAAATGAATGAATCTGTCCTAATGCATAGCTGGCATGGTGAGATATTAATTCTTTTTTGGATGAAGACCTTAGGGTTCATAAATTATTTGCCTGAGGACAAGAAGAGGATATATCAGAATGAAACATGTAGTTATACAAAACATTAACATGACTAGTCCTATGGTATTGTGTCACTGGATTCTGTACTGAATACTAACTGGCATTTCTTTGATCTCAGTAGGGATCCATATTTGATCCTAATCCATGCTGAAGAAATATTTGCCCACTTTCCTTAGAAGAAGGCAAGGGTCATCATGGACAAATGAGTTCTAATTATTGCAGATATAACTATCATATATAGACCATGACCATCTCCCCTTGAAAGGCATTTTCCAGTTATCCCCACTTTACCTGTTCTGAAGAAAGAAATGTATATTTTGCAGAAGGAGGAGATAAATCTAGTTCCAGTCTCAGACATTTCTTCTTTTAGTACTTTACTGCTGCTGCTGAATGAAGTTTGCTGTAATTCAAAATCTCAACATTTTAGTTTTGCTTATGTAGTAATTTCTCCTAAGAGTCCTAAGTGGATTTTTTGTCCACAATCTCCTAAGTCTACAAAGAAGATTGGTTTGAGTACATGAACAAAGGATGCTTATTTTCACAACTCCATAAGGGAGTGTCATGCAAACACACAAACACACACATGTATTTTTTTATTCACCAAGTACATGGCAATAATTGCTTCTGTTTTTGGAATTATATGTTTCCTTTTATGCATGATTGGTTGATCATAGCTCCCTCTAAAAGCAGACCTTTGCATTATTTCAGTACAACTCTTCGACAATTCAGCCTTTGTGCAAATTTTATCAAATCTCATATCACATCAACCAGCAGTGTCCAATTTATTAGAGCAATGATGGATTTCAGACATGTTATAGCAAATGTGCTTGCAGCTATTGTTGAAGCAATTTTTGGTTGTCGTTTCCGTGAAAATGTTAAAAGTTTCTTGAATCCTAAGACAGCTACTACAACATGCTTATTAAAACATAGATTATTTGAGGATTCACTTCAGTATTTTCCCCATATAACATGGCAGCTCAACCATACTATATACACCTCCTATTATTATTATCCCTGTCTTTTTATAAAGATAAGATTTAACCCAATGTTACCTTGCTCTATAACAGCGGTTCTCAACCTGTGGGTCGCGACCCCATTTGGGGCCGAACAACCATTTCACGGGGGTCGCCAAACAAGGCTGTCTGCCATTTCCCCCCCCCCCATTTTCCCCCTTTTCTTTAGCTGTGCTACTCCCTCTTATTCTATTGGCTTTTGAAAGCCAATAGAATAGACTCTATTCAAGAGACTCTATTCTATTGGCATTTGAAAGCCAATAGAATCTATTGGCTTTCAAAAGCCAATAGAATAGACTCTCTTGAACAGAGTCTTAATTCTGTTGGCTTTCAAAAGCCAATAGGAATTGTCCAGGCTGTCTCTGCCCTGCTGAGACCGCCAAAAGCCCCAGTCTGCAAACGGTGCTGCAAGGAAAGCTTCCCTCCCTGCTGAGCAACTACTAAAAGTAAGTAAAAGAGGACCAGGGGTGGGAGGTGGGAGGCCGGCGAGTGCAGGGAGGGTTTCTGGCATGCATGGGGCCCAGCGGGTGCCTTACCTACCTGGGCTGGGCCAGCTGGTAGCCCAGCCAGTTGTCGCCCTGCGCCGTCGCTGCCGCTTGCCATGGCTGCCCAGGAGCGCCTGGGCCTGCCTGCCGCCGCCCCAAATGGGTGGCTG